GGGATGGCAGTTGCAGTTCTTCTGGGCAAATGAAGGCGAACTGCAGGAAACTTCCTGTAAGCCACAGGTCGTGAATTCGAAGTGGAGAGGTGGCACATTCATTGCATTTACGTATCTACGTGTTTAGGAAAGGCTGCTTGGAGGGGCTGGACATTCAATGTAGTCCTGATGAGGACTTGTGCTTACAATGCTTATGGTAGAGTATGAGTTATCAAGTTTGAAGTGGTCCGCAGCGTAGTTGTTTCTTTGTGCGGATCTGCTTGCAGGAATTACTTCTTCGAGCGCAGGCCCTGCACGTACCTCTGCAAGAGAGCCTGGATAATATGCGCTAGGAGCGACAATCCCATCCAGTGTTTCGGTGCTCTTCTTGATGTGCATGTGTACGAGGCTCCTAGACAAACAGGTCGACTGGTTCGTGTGGCAGGTGGTGTGCTGAAGATTCTCGCCAAGCGATCTTCGTAGCCATCGCTGCGGCCCTGGAAGCTTTGAATTTTAAGCTCTGGTCAAGGGCGCTAGGGGATCAGGGTGCGAGTTTAGGCCGCCCAGAGATTACTGAATGTCAGAGTTTAAAAGGGAACTTGTAAAAAATTAGGGACCCCATTTTAAGGGTCCATTTGATAGGGGATATAGTACATTTGGGGGCATGTAGGCGGACCGTGATTTCTGGAAACTTGAGTAGATCTGCTGAAGTTGGTTGAGACCTCTGCAAGCTCAAGCAACCCCCAGGCTTGTAGGCCCAGAGGGCCGGCGACCACCACAGAGTAGTTTCCATTTTCTTTTCCATTGCATTACCCCTATATAGCCCCAATATACCCCCAATATACACCCGTAATTAATTTCAACGTGATGAGATGACATAAGCAGAGGTGATGCGGGTGAAGATTTCCCTGCGCCTTACACAGAAATCTGAGCTCTTTTGTCTCTGCTGCGTTGAGGCTGTCCACAGAGATAGCACATGCAGTATGATCTTGTCTGGAAACTTGCTTTTTTGAGCCATCAAACCTAAAGCCCTAAGCTGATCATAGACTGTGACTTGGGGTGTGTGCCATGCTTGCTGGACGATGCAGCGGTCTGCAAGCTGCAAGAAGCAACACGTGGCATAAAACAGAAGGTTCCCAATCGTCCTTTTGGGACACCCTGTATACTACTGGAGCCATGCCATACTAGGTGCCCCAAAAGAGGGCAACAGATGCCACAATTCCGACGCCTTCTCCACATGAACTAACCATCGTAGACCCCCACACCAGGCGCACTTGGGAGCTTTGGCCGCGCCGTTCTTCTTCACATGGAAGGCTTCCTGGCTTAATAGCTTGAAGAAAAATTGCTTGCACATTTTTCAGGCTGAGACAGGAATAAAGGGGGATGAACGTGGGGAGAAAGCGACTTTAGATGAACATCTAGAGGGAGGCACGGACCTCAGCAAGCCTGCAGCAAAAAAAATGAGGTTTCTATATAAGCAGAATAGGACAACTTGTAGCAAGAACAGGGCTTTAGCGTAATTCTGGGGATTTGTGTCGTAGTTCAATCACGCAACTTGGCACGTCAGGTTCTGCGATGGCTGGAAACAAGGGTCTAGAAACCAAATATGGGTTAAGAGCTTCTGAGTCAAGCGTGCTGGAGGCTAGTGAAGTTGATCAGGGCTTATGGAACTTGCAGCCACACTTTGGAGAGCATGTCCGTAAATACAATACATACAGCACATACGCCAAACTCAAGCTTCTTGGGATTCCTTTGCTAGGGCGCGTCGTCAGGATTGAGGAGGAGGGTTCCCTCCTGATGTTCTCGTAGTTCTTCAGATTGTAAAGCCGGTGCGTAAATAATTGATAAAACCATGTTTCTTGATCCCTGCAGCTGCAGACCCTCTTTGCATTCCGGTCACCTGCGCAGTGCACGGCAGGCCTTCGGCTGCTTCTGCGCCCTGTGCTCAGCAATCTCTTGGCGTCCTAGCGAACCTGCTGTCAGCTGGTGGTGTGGGTGCTGGTAGTGGTAGTGGCAGGGTGGCCATGGTTTTGAGCAAGGTGCCGCCGCCGTAGTTTCGGCGATGCTTGTGGTGTTGCTGTTTGTGTTGATGCCAGCAACTAGCAACGGTGGTGGCGTCGGCCGAACGAGACTTCGACCCTCGAAAAAAAACGATCCATAGGTAATAGCTAGGCAGTTTGGTTATCCACACAACGGCATCTTCCAATAGTCAAAGAGGACCATTAGAATGACACGAGGATGATCAAGATTTGTGCTGCGCAGGTTGGCTACATCATGACAGGCAAGGATGGGCTCTAGTGCAATTTCTGCGCAAGTCACTGCGAATCTTTTGAAGAAATCATCCACCAAGCTTGGTGACAATTTCACGCAGTCATGCGTATACCCTTGCCCTAAAGCCAAAGATGCAAATCAGACCTAGAATATGGGGCATGTATTATGATAATACGCACAGCTGAAATAAGTCTAGCCTTCTCAAGTAACAGGGTATTTCAGAATGCCTGGCCATGACCGCGCACAGGCCTCAGAACCCAATGCCCTTGACAAAGTACAATATCCTCGACTATACAATGCGCTACGTACCCTGGAACACCCTCCAAGCAACTCCCACCCCATCTCCGAGCTTCCTCATGAAGACTGGGCAGGAATGCTAGGCGTGACTCTGTCGTATCACCGGCAGCTTTCTCATCGGGCCTTTGCCTTCTTCTCAGACTCCAAGACTGAAATGCAATGCTAGCCCTGCCAGGTTTCGCAAGCAGGTCTTGGATCTTTGATTGGACTAGTACCAGTCCCACTCATGAGTGATATTGCGACGTTGTGGATTTGACCGTGAGCCCTTCATGATTCCTGTCAGCTAGAGCATGTGGATGTGCCATGCTCAGGTAACACCGAAGTGGTTGGAGCCGATTCCTCAGCCAGTTTGGTCTCCTCAGGTTCACGTGGTGCATTAAGGGCTTCAAACACCAAAACATCGCCGCCCAGCGATGGCTCTAGAGGTGTTTGTCTGGTAGCAGTCTGTAAGAGGCAGCTGGGACAGTTGCCTGTGACTCCAGTACATACCTTAAGTTCAATTACATAGGACTTTCTGCTTCATCAATTCCCTCCATGTTGAGACTACTGCAGTTTGGATTATGCAGCCAGCAGCCTGCTCAATCTGCTTCCTGGAAGTTACCAGATGCCTTGCTATTGATGTTACTTGAATTCCCAGATTGCGAGAAATCTCACAAGCGGCTGACACACCAGCCGTTAAAGAGTCAGTGCGCAGCTGTTTGCTTTTCCCACCACAAGATGGAAAACAAATTTGCCGACTCTGATATCAAGAACTCGACGTCGGACACAGTTGGCTTAAGGTGGACTAGTGAACAAGGGGAAGTTCCACCTCCCCTGAGTGTAAAACCTTCCCTTTGCCCGAAAGGAGAAAGCCTTTGGAGCCCCAAATGCACTTTGGCTGAGGTATTTCCTGGCTTACTGCGGCGCGTTAGCTGTTCAGGGGCCGCCAATCAGCACGACTCCAAGATGAACCGAGTTTATTTGGTCCCCCTTGAGTAGATAGAGTATGGGTAATATTACGTTTATACTGGGGTTATACGGGGATGTATGGGGATAATGGAAAAACGGAAACTACTATAATGGGTTATATGCCTGACTTCGTTCGCAGGACGGCTGACCATACCGAACCTCATAAGTAACGCCCCTGTGAGCCTTGTCTAGAAACAATGTGTGAGCATTCTGTTTCACGTTCGCTGGATCCACTGTGGGCCAGGGCCTCCCAGTTGGATTGGGGAGTGTGAGCCAGCTGGGAGTTGTCCATGTTGTTATTAAATGTCGCCGTTGTTGGTTGTAAGGTTGGGTGTCCTCCCATCGACATCACCACGGGAACACCGACGCGAAGGACACCTCGGAACAACTAATTCACATCAGCCACAAGTCACTCCACCTATACGCACCGTGACAACCATTCGTTGTCGTGACTTCGACTGTTGCAGCACTGGTATGCTCCCGTTAGTCCTAATGATAAGGAACAATTTTTAAGATGATTCGCAGTACGCAGAACAACCCAGCTGAACAATCCTGAGTCCAGCGCCAAGGCCTACCGGAAGGCTCATGGCATCGATTGTAAAGACAGCTAGCCATTTCCAGAAATTGCCCTCCCCTATACAGAGCACCAAATAGTGAGATACTCACGGTGGGGATGCTTGAAGCGCGAGATTTGTTTTTGGGGAACCCTCAGCCCTCAGCCCTAATCCGAAACCATGAACCACAAACCAGGATATCCGAGCGGCGTCCCCTCGTTTTGTGGCAGCCTGGCGTAAACTCCATGAATCTGTACAGCCCTCCCTTTTTGCCCAAGTCAACGTAAAGGGACTCCGTATTAGTTAGACCCAATAGATCCTAAACCCTTAACCCTAGTCTGCCAGGATGATGTGCACTCTCCTCGCGATGGATTTTGGTGGTGCTGGCCACAGCTATTATCCACATAGGATGAAGGAGTTGACAGTTTGGCATTCGGGGCTTAGGATTTAGGATTTGGGGTGCGGTCTTCAGGATTCAGCTTGATTTCCTCCGCGCGAATAGCTGATAGCGATAGCAATGATAATTGAAGGTATATAGAAGGGCCTCTTCTTGTATTTATTTTACTCGCGGGTAGGCGGGGTCCACCTAAGTTTTCTGACATGGATAACAGCAGGATTTTGGTATGTCCAGGCCCCCAAATTATAGCTTTAGGGTCCAGCTTCAGGGTTGGGGTTGCTAACATCCTCTGAGAAACTCGTGTTTCCATTCAATTTTCCACTAGTTGAAGCGAGGCTGACGCTCTTCAAAAAGCCCTTCCAGCGTGCCCCTACCCCCTTACCCCATAGAATCAGATATGATATGTCGGCAAATATTTGTATATATGTGTATGCAGCTATAATGCCTGTACATACAATAGACATGCAAAGTAGCCGGGTTGTCTTGCTAACCTCATATAACTGAGTCTTAAGAGAAACAGTCCGCATTTTCTATGTGCTACTGAGAGCCGAAGGACGGTTCTGCCTCAACCCATTGCACAGGCATGTTCATGTGCTTCCAAAGGTCCACAGTGACCCTGGCTCGAAGCAGATCCCAGCCTTGCACAGACATGTTCAAGTTGCTGCTGTGCACAGTATTGGAATCAAAATCTTCATGGCGGCTGATGGGATCAAAATCTCCTTGAGCCTCTAAGGTCTCACATGGGATGGCTTTTTGATGCAGATGGAACGAAGATACGGCGAAACAAGAACAATGCTTCTGACCTCTCGCTTCGGCCCAAGCTTTGCCAAGGTAAGCCCAGGGTCATTGGAGCCACCTCAGTCAGGCTTCAGCAGCAGTGCAACTAATTTGCTTACGCGGACATGAGCATCATCTGCGGGGGCCTGATACCACTTGTGAGTAGGCGTCCTCTTGAAGAGGCAGCAATTCATATAAATATGGCTTCCTGATTCGTAGGGCCATGGCCAGCAATGAGGGACCACAAATACAAACCCCCAAATACCTAAGCCCTTATTCTAGGGACACGCCAGCAGGTACCTCTAGTTTCTCCAGAAACTTTGCACTGGGGGAGCCAGTGCGTTGCAGCCCTCCGGCCAAGTGATATCCTGGAATTTAAGCCCCGAGTCATTTGCACGACGGGCCCCCAGAATCGCCTTCCAAACCGTGGTATATCCCCAGGGTCCTGAAAGTATCCTGTTTTGAGAATCCCCATTTTACCTTGGATGGCCCGATGGCCCTATAATCAAAACGTTTCAAACCTTCTGTATGTGAAGCAATCCTCCAGAAGCACAAAAAGGTTGACCTTTTGTCAGCTGGATTTCAGGTCGCAGCGCTTCTACCAGTTTCTGCAGAAGACCTATGGCATACACTGCTTCTTAGCGGCAAAGACGATAGGGTGTGTAATGCGCCATCCCCAAAAAGATGTCCCTTTGCCTTAGGGATCCTCCTTGGCTCCTGGCAGCATGTGAAAGGAGGCGACAAGGACTTCCTCACTAGGTTTAAAAGAGCTCGAATAAGGTGTGCCCAGCCTATCCATCCAACAGCTGCCCAACCAACGCAAACCTGCTTCCCAGGTGTGGTGCTACCAATACTGGCGCTCTACGCCTACGGCGGGCTGCCTTGCGTCTTGTGGGGCTTCTTTGCCAGAGCAGCTTCGCAGCACTCAAAACTGGCCTGTTGTGCGTAGGGTTTCCCGAAGTTGAGGGTACCTTTCTGGGGGTCCACTTCTTAAAACGGGATCTCGCTGTTTCCGTGCGCGTCGGAGCCTTTGTTGCATGCTGGAAGCTCAGGTAGTATGGTGCCAGCCTCAGCTTTTGATGTAGAACCGATTGGGACTCCCTTGCCGTGAAGCTTCTTGTGTATACCTCAGGATACCTCAGGGTACATGGTACTGGAAGGATTGAACCAGAGCGATTTGCGTGAGAATGTGAGGAAAACTGGCTGCATCTGGAGTTTCCATTTACAGTTTCAGGGGTACGGCGTGTACCAACGAGCAATCCGCACATGCTTGTAGCGGCACCTCGAGCTCATGGATGACACGTATGGTTGAATCCATTTAGAGTAGAAGTCACAATAAAGGCATCCGTGCGTGATCAGCTGCACTTTCGATTTGAGGCCTTGTATCAAGTCTGGACGACTCTCTTGGACATCTGCAGTTTGTGTCGTCATCATGCAGTTGCTATCTTTCGGCGGTCTATGTGTACCGAACTTCTAATGTCGTTGTCACGTTCAAATCTTCGCAGGCTCACCAAATACTGTGAGACTGTTGCCAGAGCATGCCAGGGCATCTGCCCTGTAACTATGGCAGGCAAGCCCAAACATGATTTGGTAGCTCCTACAGTTGCTTGAGGTCTGACCTTCATGGTTTTTAGCGAGCATTTCCACTGCGATCAGGATGGCAAGTAGCTTTCCGTCTTCGTCGGCGCCATCAACCCAATCTGCAAGACCTCACCACGTGTCATAAGTCATGATGTAGAAGCTCACTTGATCCTAACGTTAAGCTCCTCATCCTGCGGAATCTTAAGTGATGCTTCAGGTTTTGGCACATAACCTGGTGTGTGAACTCTGTGCCTCGGACGCAGTGAATAAGAAAGTGGGACTTTTCTGAGAAGGAGTCCTTTCAGAGGGACTGTAAGACTTTTGGGGTACAAGGTGGCAACAGCCATAATATTAGGGATTAAAAGGGATGCGGCAGTGCCGGTGAAGAATTCTGTAAGGGTCGCATTGAGAAATTCCTTATGTTCTTCACCGGCTCAGGTTTCAGCTCGTGGCACAGAGCCTAGGCTCAGGGTCAGAAAAGGGGCTTCGGTCTGGGGACCCCAGAACTAAAGGGCTACGGTTGTGTTGTACTATGTATCTTCGAATGGCGGCTGAGGCCATGCTGGTGGTTTGCCCTGAGATCCCGAATTCCTTTTGCAGGTCATTCTGCACAGGTCTCCTGCATTTGGGCAGACTTTAGATAACTCCAGGAAGCCAGAGACACAAGGCCACTTCGCACATGGTAACAGCTCCACTACGCATCCCCTTTAGAGAGATTGATGCATAATGCATAGTCTCTGTCAAAACCTGTAGCCGTAAGATGGAACCATGACTGGCTATGGTGATCATGCTGAGGATGAGGCCCTGTCATGATGGTGTGCCCGTGGCAACAGATATCAAACAAGGTTGTAGCACAAGGAAAATCGTTATTACAATATTTTCATCATGCTTGTGCAGGATCTACCCTTTGCAAGGACCGCAGACTGAAAAAAGAACCTCTGAACACTACAGAGCTGGATCTTATTTGGAACTGTCAGCTTGAAGCAGTTCAGTAGGGTATGAAATGTACTCAAAGCTGTCAGACATCGCTGAGCTCATGAGTTCTTCAGCCAGAAAGCTGAGGTCAGCCACGCTCGGTCCTTGGCGCATCTGCTTCCGCCTGCATGCTCCAGAATTGGCTGAGGATTTCAAACGGCCATGCGGTTTCATAATTAATCAGTTACATAGGGACAAATGCCATCCCAACCTGTATCAGACAGTCACGCGCGCGTGTTCGTCCAATCAACTAGGTCGTCTCTCCCAGTGAAGCAAGATCTGCTCAAAAAGTAGCCCAAACTCTATGACACGAAAGAAATTCAAGGGAGGAAGTAGCTCTAGAAATCATAGCGTGTACTTCTTCAACCCCAATGTCCAGGTACCATATGATCATTTTTTCCAAAGGGGCTCATAAGTTTGATCCACTCCTAGGATGGTAGCCCCGCACCTTCCACAGCTTTACCCTGTGGCTGAAACAACCTAGAGCACCGCTGAGGTCTGGGGGTTCCAGGATTGGAAGACAGGCCAGGGGACATTCAAGTTTGGCATTTGGGGTTGAAGTAAGGTGTGGAGTACCAATAATTAGTAATTCTTGCCACGGCGGAACTTTCTTAAAACCGGGGCGTCTATGTGCTGACATGGCGTGATGCTCTTTGCGGGCAGGGGCTTGGGCCTGCATGGCCTTTCAGGGCTTAGGGTTTGTCGTTGCAGTGACTAGGTAATGAATACTAGCAGTGGTGGCAGCATTAGTGGTAACGGTAGGAGGAGACGCAGTCTTCCCTACCGACGCTCTTGACACGGTTCAGCCCCAATCTTCAAGTCTTGTATTCCCACACCTCCAAGCCAATCAGACCAATTCATAAAACAAGAGATACAATTCACCATGTGCAAAGCCAAGCCCCTCAGTGGAGAAAGTTTAAGAGTTCTAGGTGGCCTCTGGGCTACCCAAAGCCAGTATCACCTAGACCCATAGGTGACCTTTCGATGAACAACTGGCTTGCAGTGAGCTCAGCTGTTCCCCGCTCATTTTATTGGTATGTGAGTTGCTGCACTTGTGGCACCGTCGAGCTAAGTGATCTTTAGGGTTTAGGGCAGGGTTCGAGTTTTCAGTACAGGTAAGGCTATATACAGGTTCAGTACAGGTAAGGCTATATACAGGCCTAAATTTGCATGTCCCTGCATTGCGCACCCCCTGAACTGCAACCCCCCCCGGCAACCCTGTTTGCATGTGGGGTAGACTTCTATTTAGTATACTCGTCATGTCATTCTTGCGGGCTATAAACCAACCTGTCACCATTTGCCCAGATTGGTATCTTGGCCTTTGGTGAGGGCTGGCACAACAATCACCATGCTTTCGCCACTTGACCGCAATAACCTCTCGTTCCACTTTGGGCTCTAGCGATTTGTGAGGTTGAGGGTTTTGGTTTTGGATCTAGACGTCCGGATTGGAGCTTGAGATTCTCCATTTTGGTGGAGGACAGGACACAAACTTGAAGATGTTGTTCCAGCTGATATTTCGAGCTTCAGAACCTCCGGCATCGCTGCCATGGAAAGTCTGTGCCCATACAGGCTCAGCTACCACACTTAATGTCGCCCTTTACAAAGCTGTAAAGTGTAGAAGTGTTTCCAGAAGCAGACGCCCATTCCAGAGCATTGCTTGTAAAGTCCGTTCTGTTGGATCCTTTAGGCTTCGTGTTGGGAAGCCCTGAGCCCTGGAATCCCAGTAGGGGCCTGCGCAACCACCAGCAGAGAACCACTTTTTTTGGAGAAGCTCCGGGCCAAAGCATGTGCTGAGGAACGATCCTGCAGGCATGGCCTCAAATGGTGGCAGGTCTGGTGGGTAGTGTGGGGAGTTAAGGGGCTTAGGGCGGTTTGGGGAGTTCAGGAGCTGAAGGGGCTGGGGGAGTTTGGGAGGTTTGGGGCGCTTTGGCAAGTGTAAGGGGTTTGGAGATTTTATGGCAGAGTAGGAGGTAATGCCTGACTTTCCCTTGGAATAGTAAAAAGTGGAGTTCTGCAAAACTGTGTTTGATTTCAGTAGTACTCCAGTTTGACACGCTTATTTGCGGGAAGTTCCCATGGCCCTTCGTTATCAGTGTCCTTGATCCACTGGGTTTCCTCGACATGGTTTCATTTTCTCTTATGTGAAATGCAACAACTCCTGTTTTGGATGATATGCAGTGCATACATTATATATATATGTATATATATGTATACACATGCA